TTTCTGTTTGCTTCAGCGAGCTTCCCACATCTTTCCCGGCGCTCCTACAGAACTCAGATCAGTCAGAAGAATGTAAGTCAAACCACCGTGTAAATAACAACGATTCTGTCTGTAAGCTTCGGAGCCACTAAACAACCTCAGCAGGCTAAAACTGACAAGTAATATTTTGATAAGAGCTTTGTTGTTTAGTTTTTTTGGAAGGTGATTAATGTTTGTGTTTAGCAGAAGAGGTCTGGATGAGTTTGCTGCGTGGCTCATGTGCAGTTGATATCTTTTCCTTCACTGCTGTCAGCCTTTGACCTTTAGGAGCTCAGACTCTTGTCAGTGCCCTGATAAAGCACTCTCAGGTGCGTCTAAACGCAGGAACACAGGGCAGATGCTGCCCTCTTCTCTAAGCTTCCTCAGTAACGTTTCTGTGCAATATCTTTGACTGTAATGCTTCTGCACACCGACGAGACAGACCTCCGATATTTTTGTTCGAATTGGTTCGTTCCTGCTGAAAATATTCTGAAACAGTTGTGTTCAAAATAACAGCAGCTTCACATCACCGAGGAGTTCAGTCAACGTTTCTGGTAGAAATTACCAGCTGAGTGAAAGAAAGCAGTCAGAGCACAAATGGTGCTGATTCAGTGAAGTTGTTCAAAATGATCTGATTTTAGGGAGAGAAGAAGAGAAAATGATTGGTTGTCTCTCTTTATCCACATTTGACTCAGCCCTGAAACATAACAATGATGAGGCGACTCACCTGGTTAGAGCAACACCTCACACCTGTTCACTACCTGCAGAAACCCTGCTTATACAGCTAAATATTAAGTTAGAAATTCACAAGAAAGCCATAATCTTTCAGTTAAGATAGTTCATGTTTAGTTTATGTGGACTGAAAACAGATTGGATATATTTATATAATCCTAATTAATTTGCCTGTAAAGCAATAAAATAAAATTATTTAAAGGTGTTTTTTATAGAACTGCATCTATTTTGAACACAACTGTGTATGTTTCAGACTGACTGTATCCACCTCTCTACTGTCTCTCCAGCATCTTCCAGGCAGATGAGATGTAAGAGCAGTTTTTAGTTCCTTTCTGCTCTGACTGAAATCACCTTCTCAGGCTTTAAATGTTCTGAATCACCTAGCAATCCTCATTGCATCTAAAAAAAACAATATTTTTTTTTCTTTTATAAAGAATGCAGATTAACAAGGAAATGTAATTACTTTAATGTAAAGAAAATGATTCATGCAGTTGAGATAGATGGGATATTCTGTGATTATTGTTTTCAGAGCTTTTCCTTTTTTTTTTGTAAAACTTACATTCATTTCCTTAAGAGCTGTGTAAAATATACAGATGAATAATGTTATATAGTTTTAAATGGGATGTATATTGAAATAAATATCTTTTCTGTTTGAACATGCTGTATGGGTTCCTTCTCATTTGATGCTACTGATACTAATGTTTCTGAAGCACAGGTTTGTCTTCATTTAGTTTACTTAGTTTCTTCTATCCTGAGAAGGAAACGTTTTTAATATTCTGAAAGAAATTCTCATTTAAAAATGGAAGATTATTCAGCAATTATCCATTTCTACCTCCATGAATAAAAAATTGCTTGAAGGGGGGTGGAAACAAACACTGGGACAAAAAAAAAAAAATAAAATATTAGGCGTTTTTTGTTTTAAAGCCCATTTTGTTTTTAAGGCTCTATTTATATCCTGGGGCTAATTTTACAAACAACCATTCTTGTTTTACCTCCTTGTCTCTGTTTTTCTTTAACTTTTATTATAAGTAAGATGATAATTTCCTAGAGATCCCAATTTTTATAGCAACAACATTTTTTATTAATTTCTTAATCTGTACCTTTAGGATTGTTAGAATTGGGTAAACTTTTATCTGTCCCTAACTAGGAAAATTCACAGTCCATCAGCAATAAAGGGATATTTAAATCCAGACACAAACGTACACAAAACATGTTAAATCTGTGCAGCTTCAACAAAACACTTCAAAAGCAAGAAATGATCTAGTTGTGTTTGACAGGATTTTTAGCTTTTCTTAGTGCCATTTTCTTTGAAAATCTGGCAAAATGATAAGATATTTGTCTTTGTAAGCTGGTCTTCTAACATGTTTAAACATATTTATTTTTGGGCTTCTTTTAAGAACCTGAAAAGTAAATTTAAGCACAGAGGTAGTTATGTAGACTTAAAACTATATGTTTTAAAAAAAAAATGTATTGTAGTTTAATAAAAGCAGAATAAATATATATTTTTTGTCACTCTATTTGATTTGTAATTTATGTGAGCTGAAAGACTGCTCAGAGAAAAGCCCTTACCACAGAAACAGTCCATACCTTGAAATGTTGCTTCAATATTTCTATATATGCCCCACTAATTATTTTCTTATTGTTCAATTTATTTTTATATGCTTCTTAAACGTTTTGGAAACTTGGTTATTCTAAAAAATATACATTTGTAAGATAATGAATATTGATAGATTATTAACTGCTTGCAAGATGATTATCTACCAGCAGGGGGCAGTCCAAGCTAAGTCTGGGATATTTTTAGGTTACTGCAGAGGTTTCAAATATGCCTTTTTTTTCCCTCCCAACGTTTTCTTCCCTTATTTTTCATTAACTGTTCCCCGCACAACAGTGTAGATTATACTTTATGAATCTCGTACATCAGGCTGACAGCTCTCGGGTGACGAGCGCTCCGGAGAAATGATACGTTTGCCATGCCGCCATATTATTGGAGGCAAGTTATCACTGCTGATACAGGACTGTCTAGAAATTGGATTTTCTAAAACTCCATTAGTTAACGTCAATTTTAGAGCTAGCATTGGTGCTAAAGATAAAATCTGGCAATATATGCAAACCAAAGGACTAAAGAATTTGCATATAGCACTATGTAATTCAAATTATTTCAACTGGCTTTAGTTAAGTTATAGAAGTATGTCAAGAAAATCAGTTCTGCTTTGGCTGTAAAATAAAAATTAAATTACATTAAGTTTTTGCTGTTTTGTTCTATGAGCCTTATTTGGTGATTAGAGTAGATGTTTTAGTCTTGGGTGGTTCATGAGACAGGGGCCTGCAGGGGCCAGTGCCCCTTTATAACTGGTCCAGGCCTCTTTATTAAAGTCAAAACATTAAATACATTTCTTATGGTTATATGTAGAAGAAACCATGTCTGATTGGTTTGTTGGATCTCTTTTATTTTTCTCCCTTTGAAATTAATTTTAACAATGATTTCAAAATAAAGGTGCTGTTGATATAGCATCACGATTATCTTTAAAAGGCCTAATATGCCGATTCCAGTTTTGAGCAATACTGATATTTTCTTGATAGTTGTTGATCACAATGCTACTTTAATGTTTCTGTCTTATCTTATTGAAAAGAGGGCAGTACCTTTAAAATAGGAAAATATTGTTATAACTGCATAACATAACATTCTCAGACACAGATTAAAAGTTTAGAGCATTGACAGCAGGGGCGGAGCTGGGGGGGGGGCACCCCTGTGGCCACCCCTACCATTATTTCCCTCCATAATACTGACAGTGTCAGCAGTAATACTCTGAAATTATACTACAGTAATACTCTCAATATTCAAGATATTTAAATTTTTCATTGATTAACAATTACTTGTCAACAAAAAAAAAAAAACTGTGGTTAATTATGCACATCAATATACTAACATTAAAGATAAGTAAAGAATTCATGCTCTTTTCAGTACTAGAGTTTGTGTTATATGGGGTAAAGAGAAAATGCAAGTCAGTGTTCAGTTAAGTCATAGATAAATAACTATTCTAATAAAAACTTAGTAAATAAACAACTTTTGTAGATTTTTGTAGTAAATATCAAATTTATGCAGGATCATTATTGATAAAAGTAGGTAAGAAATGGCAATGGAAAAGATGTTCGGCCCAGAACTCAAACCTGAAAGAAATGTATCCTCTATACCTTTTAGACTTAGACTTCTTTATTTGTCATTTTGTATGCACAGAGTGCATACAGAACGAAATTGCGTTACATACAGCTTATGAACGTTGCATTGATATTTCAAATGGCACAAGTTATACAAAAATACAAAAAGTGCAGCAGTGGTCAAAGTGTGAACAGTGCAGAGGATTATTTATCTAGATGGATGTTTAAATATATACGTCTATTTGTTAGCAAAGGCTGTAGGAAATTAGAGTTTGTCTTTATTTGGAAAATATGGATGTTGTGGTTGTTCATTATCCTTTTGGATCAGTATAGATTGACTCTAAGATTCTGGTGCAGATCCGCTTTAGGCCACCCTTCAATTTATAGGGGTTATTGCCTGGCAACCCTTATAAAAATGTTCTGGCTATACCTCTGATTGAAAGTGGCTGATTTTCAGACCTTCACAGATTTAGATGGGTACGATTGGGTTTATTAGTTGATCACCGATCTCCCAAAATTAAGGAAATTTGGGCTGATAAATTGGTGCACTCCTATTTTTTATCTGCTGTATCTGGGGTCCACATCAGCTTTTTAGCTCTGCATCTCAAGTAATACATCAATGAACTATTAAACTTTTTTTTTTCTTTCTTTTCACCAATGAAAAAAACACAGACCCCCCCTTTGTTAAATTTGATCTAGAACTATAACTGATTTTACCAAAGTAAGACAGGCTTTACCTAATGTAGAATCATCAAATAAATCCAAGCATCTATTATTTCCAAAGCACATTGAAAACTACAATAAGACAACAAAATCTGCAAACACACTTAAAATTGAATTTTAAAAAACCTGGAAAAAATAGGTATTTTTAAAATAAGATTTAGAATGACTAGAGAGAAGGCTGGTTAATCGGCATGTAATAATAACAATATTTATTCAGCTATTTGTGTGTTTTTCAATGAAAATGCCTCTCTCAATATGGCGACGACGTTTGCCCGGTCATCTGGGTGTCATTGGCCTGCCGCTGAAACAGTGGGGCGGTCTCGGTCTGTGATTGGCTCATACATAAAATTGTGGGCGGGTCAACGACGCTCGGGTCTCTGGCTCCAAGTCAGTCTGTCCAGGAGGACTGAGGACCGTCCTACGGACCAGACCAGCTCTGGTTTCACCCTTGGCTACCCCGCTGCGTTTACAAGTGTTTTATCGCTGTTTTTTCCACGGCCGGACAGTCCGAATATCAGCCTGCTGGAGACAACCTTGTTGGGCTGTTAGGAGACAGTGGACCGCTGTCAGCTTTATTCATGGTCTCAAGCCGAAGTTCAGGAGAAAGTTTCTGTCAGGAGGCTGCCGCAAGGCTGAAGCTCTAATATAAGGTATGCCATTTTTTTACACAACTTAAATACATGGAAACGCTTTGAGCTTACACCAAAAATATTCCTACAGTTGCTTTACATTTTAATTTTATTGTCTAACGAGGGTATTTATTTTTTTACTTGTAATGAAATTAAAATGTGTTTCTGGCATGAACGTGTTATATGCATGCTGATTTAGTTATTATTGTTATTTATAATAAATAGCGTATACTCATTTAGATTTTTTTCTATTATTTTTCCTGTTAAGTTATTAAAATCTTCCATTCCATGTTTTTCTTTTTGTTTTAGGGACTATGAATCTGTGTTTGGACAGTATGGACATCCTAAAGATAATGCTGCTGATCTTTGAAGCTGTGTTGCTGACTGACTGTGCAAGAGGTGAGGGTTGGTTCTCCAATGTTCTGTTTGTTATAAAAGCTTGTTATGGTCATAGGCAAAAAAGCTGATTCCTCACCATTAACCAGCTTCACTAACTGGTTTCCTGTCAGGGTGAAGAAAGTCTTGCTTGTGCTCTTTTTCCTAAACATCCAAGGACAGGAAAAGTCCAAACTAAAAAAAATAAATAAATAAAAATCTTCCCAAAGTCAACATTGGGAGGGAGAGAGGGGGGGTCTGTTGGCCCCTGTCCTGAGTTTAACTGCAGCGTAACTAAACAAACACCATCCATCAGCTTCCCGGGTGAAAGAACAGAGTCCAGCTCTGCGATGGCTGCTGACCTGCTGCTTCACATCAGGCGGCTTTATTCTGAAGCACTGAGCAGTCTTGGAAGCCCTGGTCCAACCATTCCATGGAGCCACTGTCAAACTGTTTTGTTTTGTGAGAATGAGTTTTTCATGAGCTCATTAAGCAGTTTCTGTGATTTCATTCAACAACAGCAGCGACTAACCATTCTGAGAAGCTGTGAGTGAGCATGAGTCAAAGCTGAAACTGTTGAGGCGTTTTTTTCCCCCCCACCAAACAGCCAAAGTGTCTATCCTCTTCCTCAGCATGATAGGAGCTGAAGAAGTGTCTGATCGTCGCAGTACCTGCATGTGTGGGACGTGGCAGGAGCGGGAGCTGGCAGCACTTTAGAGGCCCAGATCTCTGTGTCTGCAGACAATGCCTCATTCACAGCCTGGCAGCCGGGCTTTCACGGCGCGACTAAATCAAAAGTAAACAACTCTAAATCAGATTACGCCGGCAATTTTCCATGTTTACAGATGAACATATGTCAGAAAATCCGGTGAGACGGTGGATGCTTCTGCTTTAGCACAGTCTGCTGCTTTTTTGGAAGCGGCTGCAGATGCCGAAGGAGATGCACACAAGGCGGAGATGTGGTTAGCACATGATAAGTTACAAACCGTAAATATCTGACAGTTCTTCCAGCAGAGCCAATGATACACAGAGTTCTGTGTTACAGTCTCAAAGCAGCAGCTGGACTACAAACTTTATAGTGAGGGAGAGGGAAGGGAAGCCGTAAAACCGTCACTATAAAAATGAGAACATCTCTGACAGACGCGAATTAAATTATAAAGAACATCCTGCGTGTGAGACCATAAAAAACCCCCCCACCAGATATGTTGTTTTCCTGCTGCTCTCTAAATGAACTGGACTGAGTACCTGAGGAGACGGCAGGATTTAGGCCTGTTGCTGTCAGTCATCAGGAGACATCTGACACAAGAGGCCTGCCCTCATACCACATGGAGTCCCAACACACACACACTCTGGGGCCCTCTCCCTTTTTTACTACAGCAGCTCTTGGATTGGCCACCCCCCCTCCATACAGCTGCAGAAGGTGGCCAGTGATGTGTCCCAGCAGAACCAGTAATGTGGTGACAGTCTCAGGGACTGCTGGGCTCCACTCAGTAAAGAATGCAGCCTAAACATATATTTAGAATAATAAAAGGATAGGATAGGCATGTAATACGATGATGTTGCTTCTCTGGATCTCTGAAGCATCTTTGGATTGGTGCACTGGGGATAAGTGCTTTTTTGTCTTATTGCGCATAATGCACATCCACACAACCAAAACAATATTTATATTTGTTTCATTAAAAGAAACAAATGAGTCTAAAATATTTTCAAACAGCAGCCTGTCATTCCACTGCACTTTTTGGTTCTGTTTAGTTTTCTTTTTTGAGTTTTCAGTTATACTTTGATTCATGTCATTCTGTGTTTTCTAGTTTATTGGTGTTATTCTAGGTATTTTTGATTGTATTTGAGTTCTTAGTTATTGTTTGGCCTATGTTGCTCTCTTGTGTCAGTTTCTTTTTCCTTAGCTCCCTTCTAGACTCCTCTGTCCACACCTGCTCCCAATGTGCTGATTAGCCTGGTCTTTGTTCAGTCTCCTATTTATACACCTCATGTTCAGTCACTGTTTGCTGATTCCTGGTTGTTGTTTTGTTGCTCCGTCGTTCTCCTCCCTACTCCCCATGTGTGTTTTCCCCAGAGGTTTTCTTGGTTTTTGGTTATCATTATTTTACGTTTTTGGATTTTTGTCCTTGTTTGTAGTGATGGTGAGATGAGGCTTCATGAGGCATTGAACCGTTTGGCCAAATTGCTTCAACGATCCCCACAGTTCATTAGGCTTCATGTGAACATGTCATCACCTAATGGTGTAAAGCAGAACTACAGTTAGTAATAAAATCTGTGATTTTTTGCAAACGTTTTTCATTTTTTCCCCCTTTTAAGTTCCATTGAAATTTTTAATTGTTAGTGTGTCTAATAAAATCTTCTGTAATTTTTTTAAGTGTAAAATTTCTTAGAACAATCATTTAAGGTGCACAGTTTTTCTGCCATTTTAGTGAAATAAGGTCGACAGACAGTGAAAGTGTTTGTGCAAATTGGGCAATGATGAGCAAAATGAAAGGTGTTAGTCATTTTTATTCAAACATATTAGTTTTTCCACATTTTTTGGTTTTATTCAGTCGGAAGTTTTGTTCAACCAATCTTTTGGCTAAACCGACCTAATTTGGCAGCGTTTTTACCCAATCTATATTTTTACTAGGGCAAACCAATGCAAATTAATCTCATTAGCCAAAATAATTAAGTTTAATCGCAACTTTCAAAAGTCAAAGTCAAGTTTTGAACCCTTAACCTCAAGGGTGAGAGCCTGTGTCTTACAGATGACCCTACTAATATGGATAACCATAGAGAAAATACTCCTTAATGCTGACGTGCTAACACTAACTGTGTCCGGTGGCTTGCTCAGATTTTGATCATTACATTGTTTATTCTCATCAAAATAGTTTTAAACAACCAGATTGGTTGTTTTTCCAACCAATATATTCTTAGAATCTATTCAAACTCTATCACACTGGCAGCAGCACTCCTCCAATCTCCAACATCATGACTGAACACTAGGGATGGAACGGTTTATGAAAACCGTCCGAACCGTTCGGTTCGACTGTCTCGGTTCGGTTCGCGTGTGTGGCGTTCGGTTCATGCGCTGCTCCGTTTTCTCATAGGCGAAGCGTTTACACTCCAGAGCAGAAGGTGGCGGTACTGCGACCAAAGCCAACCACCAGTAGTAAACAAGAAGAAGAAGAAGCGAAGCAGCGTAGCCGGGTGTGGAAAATTGTGTCGGAATGGCGAGTGGAAAAGAACAGGAGTTGGAAGACGCGCCAGCAGCACTTTATAGGTTTGCTGTACGGGACCACTTTGCATTTAGAGTGACCTACGATGACGGCGGAAAGAAAGTTGTGGATAAAAGTGCAACAGTGTGTAAGCATTGTGCAACATGTTTTGTTTATGCTAACAGCAACATGACCAACATGTCAGGCTAACCCCAAAATCCCACATACTCGGTCAGCGCTCCGCTCCTCTGCGCTCCAGACAGCCTGCACAAAGCAAAGCCTACAGCCTCCGTTCTGGCTCCGCTCTGAGTTCCTTGGAGATTGTAGAGGGCATGCGCGAGGTGATTAAATTCAAAGCAGCAAAACATGCAGAAATGATCCATTGTTTTCCGCGGATCATTAAAAATAATTTCAATCCATTAATCCATTAATCCATTTGGATTTTTTCATTAATTTCATAAATTTTCATTTTTTCGTAAATTTTTATAATTTTTAGAAAAAAACATTTTTTCGGTGTAACAATAAACATATACCGAACCGAAAACCGTGACCACGAAACCGTGAACCGAACCGAACCGTGGATTTTGTGAACCGTTCCACCCCTACTGAACACTGAGGCTGTTTAAATTCCTGTCAAAATTCTTTCGCTTCCTGAACCGCTTCCTGAAGCGGACACGTGGTATCACAGTAGCGAGGCCTCGGACGTCATCAATTTTGGCCCCTCCTCTAAATGAATCACGCCTCGACACGCGCTTCGGGGAAACGCCCCCTCCATTACTCGACACAGGCCTCGAAGCCGTGGCTCATCTCATAACGTCACTACCTGTTTGCCTCTGGATATTTATTAAATCTACAAGACTCACCTCTGCCTCCTCACCTCTGCATTTGGGTCCTCAAAAACCTCCACTTAACCCTGATACAGCCAACTTGCTAACGCAAATCCTATTCACTTATTTAATACTATCAATAACACCTACCGGTAGTTGGTTTCTGCTCTGCGTATCTCTGGCGGTCATTAGGTGAAAAATAGGAAGACCCTGCAGCTGCTTCCAGTCCAGCACACACACGCACACTCACACTCCCTCCTACCAGCAGTTTAGTGAGAGACAAATTAACCTAACATGAACTTTAGGAGAAGGCCAGAGTACCTGGAGAGAGCCCACCCATGCACAGGGAGACAATGCAAACTCAAAGCTGAAAGAGCCTTGATTTGAGGCGAAGACTTTCCAGCTGAGTGCTGCACTACATTGCTAAATAATGAGAGTCTGAATAATACTAATAACACATTTCCTTATCTCTGTACTTGTTATATATAATTGTTGTTATGGTAGCAATATTATGATGATTATCACACCTCTAAACCATTTTTTAATATGAATTTAAAAAAATCTTGCTTCCCCAGAGAACATTTTTACAGGACTTTACTGTAACCACTGTGCGAAAAAGTGTTTACTTCTATTTGCATGCATGGATCTGCTAAAGGGCTGAAGGGAGAAACTTATTGTCTTTCTCATGTTAAATATAGTGTGATTAATCATCATTATATTTCTAATGCAATTAATTGCTCAGCCCTATATAAAACTGAAAGCAACTATTTTTATTATTAAACACTATTCAGTTAACACCTCTGCACATTTCAAAACCTGGAGGTGCTTCATGAAGTTAGTTCAAGCTAACAGATTCTAAGTCAAATACATACATTTTGGTTGATCCTAGTTTCTAACAAATGCAATTGAATATTATATTATATATATTATATATATATATATTCGATTTGGTGAAAGATTTTTTTTTAACGAGGGAAACTCAGCAGATTGAACTGTG